CCCCAAAACCCCAAAACCCCAAAACCCCAAAACCCCAAAACCCCAAAACCCCAGGACTACTTAAGAGTATTGGGAGATGTTTATTTAATTAGAAACTTAAAAAACAAAGATGGAAAATTTACCAATTAATGTCAGAATGGCATTTGAGAAATATATCTTGGGACACAAGAAAGAAGCATTTGAATTACTCGAGCCAGGCACAAAGTTCCACTCGCTTCTATGCATTATTGAGTCGATTAAAGCTAGTGATGGGAAAGTTACTAAAAGAACAAAGGATATGCTTTTTGCATTCAAGAAAAATTGGCCTTGCTTTGAGGCAGATAGATACCTTTTGCATAGTATCCTAAGTGAATATGATAATGTCGAATCTATTCAAGAGAAGAAAGCCTTAATAAAGTATTTGGACAAGATTTACCTTAAATTTTAAGTATGACTACTCAAAACCCAGCGAACTCAAAAGCTCCAAAGCCATAAAATCTAAAGGAAAGGAATCAGCTAGCAAATAAATCAATCTACCACCAAGAAAAGATGTTTAACCTTGAAAACTCCTTACGAAGGGCTTACAAGAATCCGGATGTGCTTTTCTCACTCAAGAAAAGCTTGTTAAACAAGGTTGACTATTCAAAACTTTCTACTAAAAGCTTCCTTACTTTTCTGAACTCTTGTAAAAACATCTGTGAGATCACTAATAAGAGCTTTATGGCAAAGCTAGTAGGAATCCTGAAGGTGATCTACAAAAATGATAAGAGCTACACATTAAGCCTCTCTCTACTCAATAAGCTGACTTATCATCAGTTGGAAGGGCTCTTATCGAAGTTCCCACAAATAAGTGAAGAGAAGTGCCTCATTGGAAAGCTTTTTGAAAAATAAGTACCAGGATGAGCTAGATGATGAAAACCAGGCAGACATCACCAAGAAAGATCGTAGAAAACAGCTCAGAGTTATGTACGATGAGTGCACAGACTACCCACAAAGCATAAAGTCTGCCTTGCTGCTCGAAATCTTGGAGAATGGGATCAAACTGAATATTTACTCCAAAGACTACTTCCAGAAATATCTGAAGCATCCTCTGAAAGTTTGGCACCTGAATCCTGAGAAGGTAGAGGGAGAGTTTTATGACCAATCTTGGAACACATTCATGTACAACCTGCAAACCAGAAAAGGCGGGATATTAAGTCCAGATCTCGAAGCTATCTTGTATAAATAAATACCTTGAGCACTTTTACAAAGATACAGGAAACATTGACGAATTTGAAGAATTTTTTGACCCAATCTTCTGGCGTAACACAGTCGAGGAAATAGAACTCCTATCAGGAAAGATTCTGGATGAAGAGAAACTTAATTCCAAAGAAATAGATGAGCTTAGCAAGAAAGTCATTATTGAGTTTGAAAGCTCTAATAAACTATTATACAAAGCAGATGAGAAGGTGAAACTACTTGTTCATTTGAAAAACACTCCTTCAATAAGAGTAAAAGTGTATTCATTGAGTAAAGTTGACCCTTCTAAGGAAACAAAGTGCATTAAAGAGAGCGCCTACAACTTCGAGGAGCATGCTGGACATATCAAATTCAATCATAAATTCGAGTTTCCTGAATTAGATAACAAGAGAGGGTTATTTATGATCAAGATTATCTCAAACCAAAACTATTGTCAGACTGTCATCCAGAAAGGAACTTTATCAGTAGTCTATGAGCACCAGACAATTGGCCAAGTTGCTTATATACTAGATGAGAGCAACAAGGTCTGTAAGAAAGAAAATACTGGAATCAATTTCCAGAACAAGTTCTACCCTGCAGACATCGAAAACAAGGGTAGGATAGTCATTCCATATGGGCCATCTGAAGTGAAAGGGACTGCTATTTTGATGAATCAAGGATATTCTGAAAAATGTAACTTCACTAGCTTCTCTGAAGATTACTCTATTATCGTTGATTATATTCTTCCTCCTGAAAGTTTGCTTGTTACTAACACTGCATCCCTCATAATCAGACCTACTTTGCTGTTGAACAATAAGAAAATGAAGTTGGAAATATTGAAATCGACAAAGGTGACGATTTACATAACTTCTTACTCTTTCTCAGATACCACTAATTATCAGTACAACAACCTTGAGTTATCTTCAGACAAGGATCTTGAGCTAAACTTCACTGTTCCGGCAAGCATGGAAACCATGAAGGTAGAATTTGAAACCTCTGTGTTTATGAAATCTCAAAACAAGCCAAAGGTACTATTTTCAACGCACGAGGTGAATCTTAAAACAAGTAGTCAGCAGCTAACTTTCTTCGAGTCTCATCTCAGGAAGATTATGGGAAGATATATCTTCTTACTGCTAGGAAAGAATGGAGAGCCTATCCCTTACATTGATGTATACTTCACGATGTCTCATATCCTTTACTCAAATAGTAACACCAGAGCTAACTTGATCACTAACGAGAAGGGCGAAATAGACTTAGGCCCACTTGAAGGAATAGATATTGTTAAAAGCTCGATCTTCCTGATTAATTCACCTGTGTTTGGGTACTGGAAGATCTCAAACTTTGCACAGAGGACTTCCTTTCCTGAGAGATTTGACATCCTGCAAGGCGAGGAGCTGGAGTTTCCCTTCCTTAAAGCCCTTGAGAAGTCAGAGTTTAGCCGAAACACCTTCAGTTTAATGAAGTACAGTTCTAGAGATTTTGCTAGCAAGAACTGATTTGAAATGTGTAAGCTTATCCCTGCCAAAGGAGGATCTCCTGAACTCATAAAGATCTCGAACTTCAGAGTAGGCCATTACAGGATCTGCTTCAAGGAAATCAACCTAGTATCCGATGTTTATGTTCATCAAGGAACTTATTGGAACAAAGATAAATCTCATATCCTCAAGAAGGGACAATTAATTGAACTGAATTCTACCAAGTCCATTCCTCATATTAAGGTGAAGAAAGCTAAATTTAACGAAAAATCCATGACAGATGAATACTCCTTGAAGCTAGTCAACTCTATCGGGAATGTGAGAGTTCATATCATGGCAAGAAACTTCATATCTTCTAACGATTTTGGAGAATTTTGGAAAATAAGAAATACATTTGAAAAATGACGTGAATCTAAGAACTTCCAACTCTCTAGGTGCAAGACGACTTACATTAGCAACAAGAAAATTGAACCCAAGATTAAATCTACCTACGAGAGAAAGAGACTTCGCAAGAAGAACCTCCCTCTTGAGCCAGGAAGTAGTTGCTTCTCAGCTGAAGGAAATAAAGCAGAGATAGAAGGAAATGTACTTGCTAACCCACAAATTCTTATTAAGAGGACCAAGATCAGAGAGACTCATTTTGATGATCAACTTATATCTTTAGGAGTAGCTCAAAAGGCAAGGAAGAATATAAAGCTTTCAAAACAAGGATCAAAATCAGATCTTACTTCTCAAATTTCGTACAGTGCTCCAAGTGAAATAGCTCATGACATAAATAGTCTTAAAGTTGATACCAAAATATCTATTAATCCAGAAAACTTCCAGCATAATTCCTTCGTGAATTTCTTGATGTTCCCTTCACTGATAAAGACTAACCTAATTCCTGATGATGATGGAAATATAAACTTTTGTCTTGATTCACACAGGTATGCTAATATCTATGTGATTGTAATCGATGACTACAATGTCACCCTGATGCAGCTGAGCACATCCTCCATTCCTGAGCAGATCTGGAGTAAAAACATTGCTTTACAAAAATCACTTGATACGAAGGCCTACTTCAACGAGGGGAGAAAGATCACTAAGCTGACTAAAGGTTCAAAGCACGAGATCAAAGACCTGACTTCACTCAAGTTTAGGATCGTCGACAATCTTGAGAAAGTTAAAAATATCCAGCTCAAGATCTCTAGTTTGGATGGATGTAACATCGACAAAGACCTGCTGTTCCTTGTTAATTGGAACAAATGCACAGAAACAGAGAAATTGGTGTTGTATAACAAGTTCTTCTCTCACGAAGTTAACATTTTCCTCTATTTCAAGGACAAGACTTTCTTCAACAAAGTCATCAAAGGATTCCTCAGGAACAAGCACGAGAAGTCGCTCATAGATCATTGGTTGCTCGGAGACTACGAGAAGATTGTCAAGTATAACCAAGTTGAGTATTTTGAAAACCTAAACTGAGTTGAAAAGATCTTGATTATTTACATCGTAGCTCAAACGGATCAAGGTAAGTAATAAGATCCTCATATTTTTAGATACAGCCAAAACTCTGGCGAAGAGAATCGAGATGAGTTCTTCCCTAACCCAAGAGAGTAAGAACTACAATAACATCTGTTTTGACGCTGTGTTCAAGTCTGAACAAAGCAGATCCGAGAATCTCGAGCAATCTGGAACAAAGATGGCTGACAACAAAAAGTTTGACCTACCCCAACCTGAATTTAAGGAGCTCGTTCAAGATAAGATGCCAGAAGCCCATTCAGAAGTAATCTCGGAGGGTCCTGGTAGATCTTCATTTGAAGAATATCGCTTATCTAACCCCCATATGAAAAGAGACCCAGAGTTCCAAGATAAGGAGGTAAGAAGAAAATTTTAAAAAAATATTATAATTTAACCTTTATCTAGGAAATCAAGGAAGAAGAAGAAAAATTAGATGTTTACCCCTCAGAATACTGTGAAACCCATTATTACGGAAAAATATCCGTTCTGAAGCCCAATTTGATATTTGAGAATAAATATTGGGTAGACCTTGCTAACCACATATCAGAGAAAAAATGATTTGAAGGATTTCTGAGTGAAAATTTCATCCTTGTCTCTTCAAATATTTCTGAGATGATCTTTAGTATGGCTTTCTTGAGACTACCTTTCAACTCAGCAAACCATGCGATAATATCCAATGACGATAAAGGAATCAAGATAAAGTCAGGAAGCAACATTATGATCTTCAAGAGAGAGATTCTGAAAGCACAGGCCAAGCTTATCCATACAGTCAATGTATTCCATAAATATTATGAGTATGGAGCTGAAGACGATGAGAAGATAATCCCTGAATACCTCACCCACACGATTTACTGTTGAGAAGTTGTTATAACCAACATATCAAACTATAGTAAGAACTTTGAGGCTCTTTGGCAAGTTCCAGAAGGATCTATTCCTTTACAAAAAGGGAACTATCAGAATATTATCAACTTAAATCTGGAGCCATACAACACCTGCAGGATACCTTTCTACTTCTATTTCCCAATGGAGGGGAAGTTCACCCAATTTCCAACGAACTTGTCAATTATGAACAAAGTTGTGGCTGTTTCTCCTATACACAAGTTCACAGTGGTCAATAGCACAGTCCATATCCCAACAAATACGTTTAAGGATATCCTAGCAAGAGGAAAATTGCCTGCAATATATGATTTCATAAAGAAATCCAACCTGTTCGACGAGGAAAATACCTTCTCATTCAACCTGATTCTCTGGATGCTAAAGGACAAGGACATTTTTATCAACATTGTTGGGATTTTAAGAGAAAGAAGGATCTTCAGCGAGCAGGTCTGGAAATTCGGGTTCTATCATTTCGACGAATCCTGCATTAAAGGTAACTAAATGGATTAATATATAGAATACATTACAAAGTCTGAAAAGCTCTCAAACCTTATTGGAAGCAATTTTAAGTGAAGCTTATATAGCAATTATTACACGACCTATATGCCAAGACATCTTGAGTATTATCCAATGATAAATGGCAAAGTTTATCATCTAATGCATGGATCTCATTCAACAATGGAAAATATTGAACTCCAAAGACAATATTCAGCCTTCCTGATGGATAAGATTGAGAAAGTAAAGCTATCAAGCCATGATGTGCTGTTTTATTGCTACTTCTTGATATTGCAGGATAGAATTACAGAGACAATAGAGATATTCAGAAATCTCACACCTGACTATCTTCCTGAAGACGGTACTCACACTCTACAATATGATTATATGATTGCTTTCCTTGATTTTTACACCGGTGAACCTTCAAACTATCAAAAAGCACGTAAAATTGCTGAAAAATACAGGGAATACCCAGTTCTAAGCTGGAGAAACCTCTTCCTACAGCTCAAAATTCAGCTAGACGAATATGACTGCAACCACCTCTTATTTGAAGAAGATCAATCTAGAAAGAAGAAGCCAGCCAAACCAAAATCAAGGGTCTCACATAGCCCTCATAACTCGGCTAAATTATAAAGTTTCAGCTCTAAGAATATTCTTTGGGGTTTTGGGGTTTTGGGGTTTTGGGGTTTTGGGG